TTAGAATTTAAAAATTTATTTTTTTATAAAATTAATTAAAATACTATTTAAATATATTAAAAATCATTTTATCAGTATAAAATAATATTGTTTCAAAATTATTGATTTTTTAATATTTATTAATGAAGAAAATCTAACCTATCCTTATACTATTCAAGTAATTGTAATGTCATTTGAAAGAATGAGAAATCATTTCATTATATTAAATTATAATAAATAATACTTTCTTAATACTTAACAGAATGTATGTAATATAATTTTTTATCAATTTTTAATCAATTTTTTAATCAATTTTTTAATCAATAGATAATTTTATTTTATACTTTATATTATATATATTATATATTTTGTAATATTTAAATATTATTCTATAATAAATTTTTCAGTTTTTAATTGAGTATCTATATAAGTCAAATAATATTTATTTAAAATTATAACGAAAAAAATACTTTTTATAATCTAAAAATGATAAGTTTAGAAAGCCAAATTGATACAGATGTAAATATTTATTTTATTATATCAAATGAATATAATTCTGAAAATGATTGTAATGAAGATATGTGGCATGCATACAATGTTAGTAAATATATTTTTATAAATATATATATATATATATATATATGTATATAAAATCTGCTAAATGACAATAAACAAAATAATGAATTAATTTTTTAGAAATGTTGTGAACATGATTTACAACCAATATGGATCAATGAAACAAAATGTGATAAAATGAAACCTATTAAAAATGATGTTTTTGTAATGGAAAAGTTTGAAGGTGATATATTTCATAAATTAAAAACATTTAAATGTTCGTAAGTAAAACTTTAATATCAAAATATAATTTATTATTATTGATTTAAACAAAAAAAATAATATTATATTAAACATTACTTTATTTTTATAGCATAGTTGGTCCAAAATGTTTATTAATTTGTTTTCTTAATGGAGAACCAATTCCAGAAGGAAAAAGTCCAGTCTATACTACAGCTATGAGAGGTCTTTGCATATGTGCTTCTGGTTTATCTTCAGAAGAAAAAGTATATTCATTAATAAATATCTTTTTTGTAAACAATAAAATTTAAAATATCTAAAAATCTATAAATTACAGGAACATATAGAAAAATTAGTAGAATATATGGGAGGAATTTTTACAAAACAATTACGTAGTTGTGTAACACATCTTATAACAGCATCTGTTATGTCTGCTAAATATGAGGTAAATATATAAATTCACATAAAATTATGCAAATAAATTTCTTACATTTAATTTTTTCTAATAGACTGCAATAGATATGAAAATACCAATTGTTACAAAAGAATGGGTTGAATCTATTTGGGAAACAAATTTAAACAATTTTGTTAAAGCAGATAGTAATATATTTGATAAATATAAAGCTTCTGTATTTCTTAATTTAGTTGTTACTTCAACAAATCTTCCAAAACGCCAAAAGGAAGAAATAAGACATTTAATTAATGATAATGGAGGAGTATGAATTCAATTTTTACTATTTTTTAATAGTTTTTTAACTATTTTTTTATATTTTCTTATATTATATTTTTTTTGTAGACATTTATGGGTCCTTTAGATGGTGCAAAAGTTAAAGTTGTACTTGCTCCAGAAAATAGCCCAATGAGTGAAAAGCTCAAATATGCAAAACAAGCAAATATTGCTTGTTTAATACCAGATTGGGTTTATAAAAGTATAAAAGTTGGCTATGCTTTACCTTTCAAAGATTATTTAATTAAGTCATTAAAAGCATGTTCTACTCCAGAAAAATCAAATGGTAAAAGCATTTTGTTATTATTGTAAATTTATAGTAATATATATTAAATTTATATTCTGATAACTAATGTAATTTTTTATAATAATCATAGTATATGAAAGTCTTAATTGTTCTGCAATAAGTTCCATAACATGCGATGTACAACAAGGCAATTATGTTGATGAAAGTTCAATAACAACAATGAGCAATGTTTCTTCTTTAGACAATTTATATAACAGTGTTTCTTCTGGTTAGTAATAACATATATATATAATATTTATAATAAAATAAATTTTATTTTATATATATTGAAATTTTTCAGCTTCTATATTTGCAGTTTTGGATAGACTTACATTTAATGAAGCAAAATCGGCTGGTCCGTTTTTAGATGGCTGCAATGTAATTTACATTTTCTTACTTTATAATTCTATAATATTTTTTTATTCAATTTTTTTTCATTTTTTTAGATTTACCTTACTGGATTCCCTTCTAACCAAAGAGATAAACTTAACAAAATATTAAATGTAGGTAGTGCAACGCGCCTTGATGATATATCTGATGCTCTAACACATGTCATTGTTGGAGATGAAAATAAAGCAGCAAATGAATTAAAATTAATGGCTTCAAAAGGATTATGGTATAATATTAAAATTGATATATATATTTAGTCTTTATACATATAATATAATTTAATATTATAATTATGTATAGTCCATATATATTAACATTGGAATGGTTAGAAGAAAGTATTAAACTTAAACGACCTGCACCTGAAGAAAATTTTTTATGTGGAGAAAGAAGTATTGCAATTCAAAAAATTACTGAACCTCCATCTCCTTTAAGTAAAAAGGTAAATATAGAATATATTTATAATATAAATATCTAAGAAATATCTAAGAAATATAAAAGAATAATATATTTTTTTCAGAACTTACAAATGTTACAAAAACCAAAAAAAGTGTCCATACCATCTTTTAATATAGATGAAAAATTGGTTATGTTAGAAAAAGAAAAAGAATCATCTGATCTTCTTCAACAATATCTTCAAGATACAGTTGGTAATGTTATCAAATACCTGCTAATATTATTTATAAAAAAAATTTAATATAATATACAATATTTTTTGCTTTAGTTGAAACAAATAATAAAACAATGCAAGAATTTTTAAAACCACATACTGTATTGGGAGAAAATAATGATATGACTTTGATTGATAATCAAAAAAATCAAGGAAAGCATTTAAAAGAATCTATAACAACTTCAACAGAACAAAATAAATATTCAGCAGATGATAGTGCAGTACCATTTAGTCAAACTTCTACTTTAAATGATAGATTATTTGAAGGTAATGTCATTCATATATTGATATAAATATTCATATAAAACAATAACAAAAAAACATAAATAAGATAAAATGATGTATTAAAATGCTTAATATAGGCCTGACATTTGTTGTAATTGGCTTCAGCGACGAAGATAGTTTTGTAGCTGAAACTATAGCAGCAATGAATGGAAAAGTAGTTTCTAGTACATTTGCTGGTATTCCAGACTATGGTGTTGTACCAAAATGTGGTGCACCTTTAAAACATACAGTAAATGAAATTGTTACAGATTTATTTATTGTAAGTATCAAATTTTTATTTCTCTTTTAATTAATAATTTTAACATTTCAATATTTTTTATAGGAGGATTGCATAAATCAAGAACAAATAGTCGAAATTAAGTATTATCATAGACCTCTATCTGTAAAAAAATATTCGAATCCATTATCAGGTTGTGTTATTACAATGAGTACATACATTGGAGTAGAAAGAACATATCTTGCAACATTAGCTACAGAATTGGGTGCCATGTATTATTTTTAAAATATATCTTAAAATAATCTTATCTTATAAATTATCTTAAAATATATCTTAAAATAATAAATATATTATTTTTAAAATATATTTTAAAAATAATTATAATATAATAATATATATAATAATAAGATAAATATTAAGATATTATTAATTTCAGGTGTCAAGATATTTTTGTTCGCAAAACTAATGTCGAAAAAAATATATATCGAAGTACACATTTAGTTTGTCCAACACCTGAAGGAAACAAATATAATGCTGCAGTAAAATGGAAATTACCAGCTGTTACTGCAGATTGGTTAAAATCTTGTGCAGTTCAATCAAAATGGGTTGATGAAACAGCATTTCTTGTAGGAGAAACCATAGGTAATATTTAACTTAAATTTGTATTGCATGTTTCAAATGAATTTACACATACACACATATATATTTTTTTTCTAATACTGATTAATTTTTAAGCTCCTGAAAAACCAAATGGAACTAATAATGTGAACGTAACTTCAAATAAAACTAATTCAAATGAAATGGGTCCTCCAGTTGAACCAATAGTTAGAAATATTATAACTCCAAAACGTCATCTATCAAATTTACAAGTATATATATATATATATATATTTTTTTTTATTTTTGATTTCATTTTTTTAATTTGTTTACGATCGATTTTTATTATTAAAAATAATATTACAGAGTCAAGATGGCAATTCCGGTGATACACCATTAATTAATAAAAGACTTAGTTTACTCATGAATAAAACTCCTCAATCACCATTTCATGTATCTACACCTGAAACACCATATGGTCAAGTATTTAAACCTAATCCTTCACCTGATACAAGAAAAGGTTGGGTGAAATGGGTTGATAATTTTCCAGATTTAAGAGTAGAAGAACCTCCTTTAAAAAAAAGAGCACTTAGTACTGTAATTATTACTTTTTATAAGCTTAATTACATATAAATATTTGATACATATTAATATGATTAAATTTATAGCCTCTTTCAGAGCTTAAAAAACAATTGTGGCAAAAATTAAAACAACAAAATCATGATTTAGAGGTAATATATTTTATTTATATATAAATATTATATTATTATATATAATAATATAAATAAATATTTCAAATTCATTTTTAAAATATTTTATAACAGAATAATGATGAAAGCTCTATCACTAATGATGATGAAAAATTAGATAAAATACCAGAATTAATAAAAGATGATTGCAAAACAATTACTACATCTATTAATAGGAAATTAGAATTCACCGATGAAAACAATCCATTACCAAATAATGAAATTAATATGTAAGTTATGACAAATAAATGTTTTAAACTTCACTTATAATAATCTTTATATGTGTATGCAAGAGCAAATTTTTCATCAAACTTTTTTTCGTAGGCAAATTGCACAACTAGATCAAGTACTTCAAAGAACATCAAGTACTCCTGAAAATAGATATTCTCTTTCTGGAGAAAATGCAAACACATACAATGTTGAACCTGCTGATCCTATACAAAAATGTAAATATATTTATATTTTATTATTGATTTATCTTATTTATAATGTATATTTTTTGTTATAGTTATTGCAAAAGATTCTCAACCTGTCGATGCTATTGTGTGGGAAGATCCCAGTAATTCAAAACGAGTAGGTTTTTTATATAAATGTATTTTATCTTAAATTAATTAATTTTAATTTATTAATTTTAATTATTAATTTTAATCATAATTATTTTTATAAAGTTGACAACGCATGAAGAGCAAAATGAAAGTATTGCACATGAAGAATATAATATAAGACATCATGAAGAAGAGTCATCAGAAGAAGAAATTGAACCTCCAAGAAAATTAAAATTCATGTTATCAGGCATAAAGGTATATTAATTTACATATTCTATATACTTAATTATATTATACATTATACATGTATAATAATTCTATATGTATATAGAATATTATTGATTAAGCTAATTTATTTAATAGGATAAAATAACATACGAACAAGTAATAAGAAATCTCGGTGGTGATGTATCATCAGATGCTATTTTTGATATAAATGCGACGCACTTGCTTTGTATTAGACCTTCAAGAAATGAAAAAATGCTTGGAAGTATAGCATCTGGAAAATGGGTTTTACATTGTATGTATTTACGAGATTCCGAACAAGAAGGAAAATTTCTTGACGTTAGTATTAATTGTTATTATTTATAATCTATATTTTATTTTAAAATTTAACATTATTATTTTACTTTTGAATAATTATGTATTAATAGGAAGAAAAATATGAATGGGGAAATCCAAAAAGTAAGGGCATTATACCAGATCCTACTGGCGAAATTGAAGAAACAATTGCAGCAGCTGCATATAAATGGAGGCTTAAATTATTAAAGGAACCAAAGGGGCCATTTCATAATATGACTGCTTTGCTATTGGCTTCTGGAGATAAATACGATCAATTTAAAAGATTAATTGAAGCTGGAGATGGTAAAGTTGTTCAAGCAAGGTAAGGAAATTTTTTTTCTTTCTTTTTTTTTTTACTAAATTTATTTTATTTATTTCTATTACTTAATATATTTTCTATTCCTATTTAACATATTATTTTTTTAGACCACCATATGATACAAGTCCAACTGGAAAAAAAATCACTCATTGTTTTGTTAACATTAGACAAGTTAATCAACCTATTGATTGGGCAATGCTAGCTAGTAAAGGTATTCTTTGCTTTATGCCGCAATATTTGAGTGATTATCTTACTTCACAAATTCCATTAAATCCACGAGAATGTGTAATTCCAGAATTTAAAAAGTATTTAACATTGTTACCGAAATAAAGTACTAGTAAATAATGTCTTTAAACGACTTTTTGTATAATAGTATTATCAAATGTATATCTGTACATAGAAAAAAATACATTTGTCATATTTTATTTAATTACTTCAAATTTTTTATTAAATTTTTCCAGATTAATATATATATTATATTATGAAATAAAAATTCATCAGGAATTGTATCAGGAATAAAATGTAGAAATAAATGTGATATTTTGATATAATTTTATTCAAAAAATTTTAAAAAATCTATATTTGATCAGTTATATAGTACTTACACTGCAACATATTAAAAATTGATAAATGCTTGAAATTTAATATTATTTATGGAAATTGAAATTAATATACATATATATTTTGAACATCCAATTCAAATTAATAAGTACGTAATATATATTTCAACAGATTATTTAAGATATTTCTAAAAGTATAAATATTATTACATGTTTGAAATTTAAATTTCACACATATATATGTATGTATAATATATATTTATATAATGTAAATACACAAAATTATTTATAACAGATTTATTTTAGCGTCTATAATACACGAATATTATACATATTTATATATATTAGTACAATCTTACACAATTTGATAAAGTTCTAGTATAAACATCGCATCATCAAAAGAAATTTGTAAGTTCTACAGGTAACTATAGATAAATATACAATCGCATACAATCGTTTCATAATTATATTCTTCCCATTCGTATGTATCAACAAATTAAATATTCGAGGCTGAAATATTTCTCATTAACTTTTATAAATTCAAGAAGAATACATTTTGACATGCAATCAGAATATTGCGAAGATATTTTCTACGAATTATTCCTCGTTTTCAAGAAAATAACATTTACATTATCTGATACATTATATCCCTTAAACACAATTGCATTGCTTATTATAAACTAATTTGTCAAAAATTTTTTTCAATAAGTTCTAAGGATGCAAAACATTTAACATGCGTGGGCTCTAATTTCAATGAAATCAGAACATTAAACTGTGCATAGTCTTACCACTCATGTTTTTGTTTGCAATTCTATAATCGTTAACAATTTGTATTTATATTTGAAACAAAAAATGTAATAAATGTTAATATACTACAGCAATTCTCTAAAAATTAATGATGCACAAAATTTTTGTTTTAATATCATGTATAAATTCGGCCAGCAAATTTTGAAAAATGATAGAATAAAATTGGCATATTTTAATATTAATCAAACTGAAATGATATATGTTTGAAATACTATTCTTGATAAATAAAAATAAAATATCAAGAAAATCTTTTATGATATATAACTATACATATGTAAAAAGATATTTACACAAATATTATAGTTATATTATATCTAAACCGAAAATAGTTACTACATCGAATTGATTAGAGTTAATTTTCATTACTCTTTTGCAATATCTTTTGGAATGTTGTAATTTCTTTTTAATTTTTTTTGTTTTTTCAAATGAGAATTCCATATTGATTTCATTTCGCTTGATAAACATAAATTGAAAGTAGAAAAAACTTTGTAACATATAATATGAAAACCCGATGAAGATATACTTACTTTGGTTGAGCATCTGGTTGAGTTTGTGACTGTTGTTGTTGTTGTTGTTGCTGTTGCTGTTGTTGTTGTTGTACTTGTTGAGGATGAATAGGATGTGCAAGAGTTTGCAATTTAACTTGACTAGGCCCGGGACTACCTCTTGCAGTTGTAACAACAGGTTTACCTTGAGCAGGTGTAGCTTGGCGTAATTGAGCACTACTTGCAGTCATAACTTGAATCGTTTGTTTTAAAGCAGCGGATGCAACTGGAATTACTCTTGTCTGTAATGGAGATTTAGCTAAGACTACTTGACCAGGTTGTGAGACCGTTTGTCCTGTAGAAACCTGAAATCATAGAAAAAAAAACAATAAAATAAAATGATTATTAAAAAAAAAGATATCAAATATAAAACATATAACATACATGTGTAAATTGTTGCATTGCAGATGGTTGAACATGTTTCATGACTTGTTGAATTTGTTGCACAGTCATCGTCGCAGGTAATGACTTTTGTTGCACAATTAATTGAGTCTGAACACCAGTTTTCGCGGCAACTTGCGTTAATTGTGCAACTTTTTGTGCCGGCAATTTTCTTTGATGGATAATCTGAGGATGAAGAGCGAGCTGACGAATTTGTTGAGGTGTTGCTGTACGTACATTTGCAGTTTTTACTAAGGTAGCAACTGGAGTTCCACTTGTAGATGTTCCAGCATGTTGTACTTGTAAACCTGCCTGTGCGAATATTTGAGCTGGAGTAAGTCCAGTCTGTGCAGGTACTTGTACTTGAGCTACCGCTTTTGCTTGTTGCTGCAAAGCTTGTCGCTTTATTAGTGCAGCCATTTCCGTCTCTGATACTGCACGTGCTACAGTTTGTTTTCCAACAGTAGTTTGTGCAACAGTGCCACTAGTTATATTTTGTTTCATCAACGTAGCTCTTTGTTGCGCAGCAGCAGCTGAAACAGCTACCGATACTTTTTGACTATTTGCAGCAGCTTGTGCTTGTAATACTTTTAGTTGCTGCTGTCGCAATAGAACTTGCTGTTGCCGATAATATTGCAATTGTGCAGCAGTTAACGTTTTACTACCAGAAGGTGTTGCCACAGTAACACCTATACTTTTTTGTGTACCTGCAGGAGAATTTTGGGCAGCAGATACTAAACTTGCAGTTGCAATTCTTTGAGCAGCTTGAAGATTACCAACACTAACAACAGTTGGTGCTGTCCGTGCATCTTGCATAGTTAATGTTCCTCCTGGTCGAGTTTTAACTGTTGATGTAGCAACTGTCGTACCACCGGTAGTAACATTAGTAATTGTAGTAATAGTCTTCATTGTAGTTAACCCTGTTGTAACGGTGGTTGCAACTTGCGTTAATTGATGTACTTGAGGACTTGTGGTATTTGAAATATTTTGTTGAGCTTGTTGTTGTTGTTGCAGTTTAATTTGTTGCTGTTGTTGCTGTTGTTGTTGTTGTTGAACCTGTTGTTGTTGTTGCTGTTGTTGCTGCTGCTGCTGCTGCTGCAATAGACGAGCGGCTACTTGTTGTTGCTGTTCCGCAGTTAAAACCTACATATACAATAAATTAATAAAATTTTCAAGAACTTAAAAACTTAATTATAATTAAAATATTATACAGTATTATACTAACAGCATGTTTAAGTTTTTCCTTTGCAATCCTATCGGCACGTCGTGTTGCAACTTCTATAGGAGCTAACGGATTATCATATTGAATACCACATTCAGCTAAAACTGCAGCGTTGGTAGGATTTTTCATTAACGGATTAACGAGTAATGGTTTAACAGTAGGTGTTCTCTTATTCGAAACAGATTTAATGGTATCAAATCTTTGACAGCACATTAATGTAAACGAATGATTTTTATCCTGATTATATAATTGAGACGTTTTCATTGGCCTATTTGTTTTACTTTGTTGCTAAAAAAAGATGATTAAAAAATAATAATTTTTTTCCAACAATCTCTTGTCAAATGTAGAATAAAAATATCTTGATATACCTCGGAAACCTGAGGCATTTTGTAAACGCCTTTTTGTTTCTTTTGTTTTTTCGGCGTGGTATCGTAAAGTAATTTTCCTTCTTCTCTTGGTACTATTACCGATTCGTATCTGCTTCTACATTGTTTAGGAGATCTATATATTCGAGAAGTATTGTTTACTATATCTGCAACTAAATCCCAATTGGGAGTGTGACCAGGAGATAAAATCATCAAATTTAATGGCAGTCCTTGATAAATTTGAATTGCTTGAAGTAAAGCCCAATCCTCATGTATCATCCAATCTAAAACATGTTCTTGGTCCACAGAAGATTTCGATATATGCGAAGGCTTTATACCCGGCAGTGGAATTGGTGGCCGCACTATACGATATTTATGTAATTTCATATCACGACGAATTTTCATAAGTGCTGGTGAAGGCCGATCGAATAAAGATCTCGGTGCGTAAACAGATTCTTCTTTATGCCTCATTTTAACCGCTCGACGTCCTACATAAGATATAAAAAATTTAATATATAATTATAAAAATAATAAAAATATACTAAAAAACAATGAATTAAACAAAATGAATTTATATATTATAATTATATTTATATATTGTACTTACCATCGCGATCATTAATTCCGGCTTCTATTCTACTTCTCTTTTGTTCTTTTTTAATGTATATCGGAGGTAATTGTGCTTCCGACATAGGAGTATTTTCATAAAGAAATCCCAAAGAATAGTCGATGTAAACATCGTTATCCGTTGTAGGAGGTGTAGGAGGACACCACATCTAATAATGAAAATAATTTTTATATATTTTCAAAAAACGAAAATATAAATAAAATATGTACACTAACCGGCATTTGCTCCATATTGTCGTCCGATAACCATATCTGCAAGATATTAAAGTACGACTATGAGAGCTATTCAAAAATTAGAAATAAAAAATCTGCTTCAAGAAGATTTAAGGGGATTACGAAGAATGAGCGTCGTGTATGAAGCACCAACTTTTCAAGTATGTAGAAGAATTTGAAGAAAAAATCGTTTCCTCTTCATTTTTATACATATCTTCATATTTCTTCTATTAAGCATAAATGAAGTTAAAAAATACCAATGTCGAAATAAATGAAATAATCTTGGAATTTGAAGGAAATGAATAGGAAATATACATACATTTTGCTCGTTCAAAGGCTCATTTTTGTCATTAAGAATTTTGTTATTTTAACTTCGCATTAAATATCAAATATACAAGACGCTCATTAATGTGCCTGCTTATACCTTGGCTGACTCCAAGTTTGGAATGGCAAAGGCAGTGTTTTGGTGCCATTTTATAAATAATTATTTGGAGCTTTCTACTGCATGCTATTATCTAATTTGCAAAAAACTTTTTTTAATGTGCGGTCATGATAGCCTTGCCACACCAAAACATCGCGAGAATACAAGATCATTACTTTTAATGATCTCAGTATATATAACCAAGCACACTGAGCAAAATTTGACACCAAAACGGAACTGAACCTTTGATCGAACAGACTTGGATACGCACCAAGAAATAAGAAAACACATG